TTGCACCTCCAAATCTGCTCAGACTTGAGGTGCCACAATCAAACTACATCTCAGTCTTCCCAGAAGTTTTAAACAACACTGCAAAATAGGTCCATGCTACTAGACCGACTCTGAGATGTTTGTCTTCTTGACTCTAAATCAAGGGCAGAAAGATCAAGTCAGGCCCACTCCACTTATTAGCATGTAAGCTAAAAATCTTAGTAAGTATTTGTACACACACAGAAAGGACCACCATGGGATCATTACTCACCATCATCAAGGGCTGCCCGGGAGCACATGCCTGTAATCCCGGGTAGTCAGCAGGCTAAAGCAGGAGGACTGTGAGTTACAGGCCACCTTGAACAACTGAGAAAGACTTTGTCTCAAATAAAATACATACATCTGTGGAGGTAACTTAGTGCTAGAGTGCTCACTTGGCACTGAATATGGGTTAAGGATTAAGTACTAGGGACTGCGTGAAGCCCGGAATGCAATTCCTAGTACTAAATGGAAAAAAAAAAAGAACTCAAGAAAGGTTAAATTCATTGACCCATCCATCTTTCCACACCTCTATCTATTCATCCTTCTATCCACCTGCCTACTCATTTACCTATTGTTATGGTTTATATACTGTGTCATCTTGAGAAGTCTAGAAGTTTAACCAAGTGATTCAGCAGCTCTACCTCTGGGGTGTAGAGTACAGGCACTTATAGTTCTAGGATACTGTTCATTGTGTCAAGTTGAGAAGGTCAGCACTTTGACTCAGCAGGGGGCCAGGGTCCCTAGTTTGTAACCTCCTTGGCCTGTGCAAGAGGAAGGCACCCCAAGTGTGAGTGCTACACCCACCCCAGGGGAGCAGCTTACATAGTTTAAAAGGCAAATGAGGGGCTGAGATTTAACTCAGCAGCATAAGCCCCTTCCTGGCTAGCTAAAAGTCATGAGTTCCATCTCTGGTGGTACCAAAGGCAAACCAGGAGGGACTGCTTGCTGCTTCTTTGGAGTAGCTCCAGTCTTCACCTTCAGCTTGGTCGTCATTTCCTGGCTTCTAGCACAGACTGTTCAGCTTCTGCCTGGGACTCTTCAGCCTTAGTTGTATGCTCTTCAGTCTTCCATCGTAGATTCTTCCATTGTAGACCCGTTGGCCTCCTGATATGGACTTGCACAGGGCACTGCAGTAAGCTCCAGCTTTAAGGTTAGACCTTTCAACCTCTAGCATGCAGACACCCTCAGCACGCTCCCTTATATTCAGCTTTGTGGCTGGCCACTGTAAGCTCATCTTGTAATTTCTTATAAAGTTGTATATCTTGTGTTATATCTGTTTCTCTAGTAAACCCTGACTGATACACTCATCCATCCATCTATCCATCCATCCATCCATCCATCCATCCATCCATCCATCCATCCATCCACATACCTGGACACTCATTTGTCCACCCATCTGCATCTCCATCTATCCACAGGAAGACTGGTCATCCATGTGGTCATTCATCCATCTATTCATTAACCAGTACATCCATCTAACTAATCATTTATTTAATACTTAGTTCCTCTTTGCAGGAACTACGCTAGACACAAGCTACTGGAAAATGCAGAAGTAAAATCTTGGTCTTCCAGGAGCTCCCAGAAAAAAAAAAAAAAAGATGTGGCAAGAGTGTCCACAATGTGAGTGCGAGAGTCACCATCCTCCCATGCCATGGCAGTGTGCAGCCTGCATCTTCCTGAAAGGTAAACTCTTAAAGCGGCAGAGAGGAAGGGAAACAAGATCACTAATCCAAACTGTCTGGTGTCCTTAAAAGTCCGGACACACAAATACCCAGAGGGACAACCAAACAGATGAGGATGTGGGAAGAAGTCAGGCATCCACAAACTAAGGAGAAAGGTATTAGGAGGAACAGCCCTACATCAACCTTGAAACCTGACCTCCAGCCTCCGAGGCTAACTGGGGTGCCATTATGATTACTATGGGAGCCCTGATACCAGGGCGCTCCATCAGTAGGAGACTGCATCTGCAAAGATACCCTGAGCTTTAGGGCAGGTACGGAACTTGGAAAGCTGTCAGCACTGCTGAGAAAGGCCTTTTGCACAGGTAAGATGGGGAACTCACTACAGGTGAGCAAATACCCTTGGACCCACTTAGGTTCAGGCTTATTGTAACCCAACTACACCTATTTCCCTATAACACAATCAGAGGTCACAGCACCTTCATCTCCAACTTCTGCTGGGCATACCATGTAACTTTTTTTTCCAGTACTGAGGAATCAAGCTGAGCGGCTCAGGCATGCTAGGCAAGCATACTACCACTGAGCTACGCCCTTGGCCCTTTTTACATTCACACAAGGTCTTGCTGAATTGCCCAAGCTAATGTACAAACTTATGATCCTCCTGCCTCATCCCCCTACACTCAGTCTAACTTTTTAGGAGTTATAATTCTGTACCAACCCTTCAGGTATAAATATCTGCACCATTCTTTCCCAGTTTCTTTCCTCAAGAAACATTTGTTTGACCTGGATAAAACCAGCAAACAAAGTAATTCCAATCTCAACATTCTCCTGTTATTCCAATGGAATGCAACTAAAATCTTTTTATTACAATACATCAGTCACTGTATCGGTCATCTATTCATTATACTGATATGCATACTTGAAACTTGCACACAATCCTGGGTAGCTTTTATTCTCTGTATCAGAGACTGTTTTTTGGCAAACAAATAACACTCTTTCGCCCACATTTTGTTAATTTGCATTTAGTTGTAGAAGCATATTGTTTCTTGCTGATTCTGCAGAAAATGAAACAGTCTCTGGGATTAAGTTGAAAAGGACTTTTTGACAATTGCAGTGTAGAATTTTATTGCACTTTGGCACTCTTAAAACATACACACACACACACACACACACACACACACACACACACAATGCTCATTCTACCTTACACAGTGACATCCTCTATGCAGAATGGAGGCTCTAACCACCGGCCCCAATATGTGCCCTCTGCCCAAGCATACACTGCTGGCTCAGGGTACTGTGCACAGCCCCCTTCTTGACCCAGGCTGCCATGCACACTGCACCACTGGCTCCACAACTGCAGAGGCGCCTGGACGCCGGCTTAGCAAACAGACCACAGCTGGCGCCAGGCACATAACCTACTGTGAGCCCACAGTAGGGACAAAGCTGGAATTGTGCCTCGCCAGCACTGTGACATTTCGATGGGGGATTATTCGTCAGCCTTTCCTACTCTTCTGCTTCTTGCTCCAGCTACACAGTGTTAAACAACTGAAGGACTTTCCACACAGGTACACACAGGACAGAAAACTTGTTGGTTGCCTTAAATATGTCTACATTCCTGTACAACTGGTAGCATTGTGTTTAAACCCAAATGAAAGAAAACCTTATTCCTGAAGGCTGCTGACAGTGAACACCTAGCCTGGTGATTGCTGCCGTGCACTCCCCAGCTCTGCAGTCAGCATTTGATTTACACACCACACCAACGGCAGCAGGGTCTGGAGGCAGTCCAGAACTCAGGCACACACAATTCCTTCCACCAGTCCCCCCTCAACACTTGGGAAACAAAGTCACACTATGCCTTCTCAGAGACACACGTTTGTCATGTCCTACAGCAGGCAGCAGCAGCCAGAGAATACCCTGTATTTTATCTGAGTCCCACCCTAACAGCAGAACTGTGAAGTGTGGGACATTTGAGAATCACGTGCTGTGACTGCTAGCTAACACTGCACCTCTCAGCCCTATCTGGGGACTCAACTGATGCCACTTCTTCTTCTTCTTTTTTTTATTTGATTTTATTTTAAAGAGAATAAAACCAAACAAAATGAAACAGAACTAAACTAATTGAAACAAAACAGTGAGAGGGAGACAGGACTTCAAGATAATAGAAAATCAACAATGGCTACCATAATGCCTCGTGTTATCTTCAAAATAGCTGCCCATACCATCAGATATGATAAAATCAAACCGACCAGAACAGAATAAAACAAAACCTCACAAATAGCAAAAGCGATATGGGACTTCGAAACAAGGCAACAGGAAATTAACAATGGCTACCGCAATTTATCTTGTTATCTTCAAAATTGCTGCCCACACCATCAGACACAGGAAAATCAAACAGAATAGAACAGAATAAAACCAATCAAAACAAAACAATGCAAGTGATTACAGGACTTCAAAACAAGGAAATAGGAAATCAGCATTGGCTACCACCTTCCCTTTTTAGGCATTTCTTCCCTTTTCACCTTCACAATGTCTACTATACATTTTGGATCCCACTAACTCCTTCAGTTGTTTTTTTTTTTTAACTAGGGAGACAACACAAGGTTTACCCATGTGAGTCTGAACTATTTCACTCATGAGCATGATCTCAAGTTGCATCCATTTACCTACAAGTGCCTTGAGGTTATCCTTCTTTACAGCTGCGGAGCTTTCTATTGTATACAAATACCATATCTTTCCTATCCATTCCGTGGCTGATCGGCAAGCTATTCTTGGTTTTTTGGGGGTCACCATCACATGAAGCATAGTCTTGTCTCCTCCAATCTTAAATCTATCAGTTTTCTTTCACTGGTTCCACTTCTATTTTCAAGTTTAAATGAACCCACTCAATAAGTCCATATTAGGAAGATTGGCCCTCTCCCCTCCAGAGTAACAATCCTGAGCCCCAACTCCAAATCTGAAGTGCTCAGAAATCCCTCCCAGCAGGACAGGAAAAACTCAAGCATGTTACACAGGACTCTCCATCTTGTCCCCAGAAAATGTCTCACTTCATGGAAAACACAGCAGCCACTTTGAGAAGCAAAACTGCCACAGCCATGATTCTCTGGGCAGGGCTGCCAGGCACAGGGTCTCTCCTCAGAAGTCCAGCGTACAACAGTGCCTGAAATCATGCCCAGTTACGCTTAGGGTTTGCCAAAACCAAGACATCAGACTGCAGGAAGCCAGCGCTTGCACTCCACAGGGCAGCCCACCGCCAAGACATCCTTGCAGCAAATGACCCCAGCTCCAGAAGTTACTTACCTCAGAGTGAAATGTGCCTCCTGTGCACAAACTGCAGAAACAGGCATTTCTTGGTGCTCTCTGGGGTCCCCTGGATGCCTTAGAGTTTCGACAGATGCCTCCTGCAAAGGATGGCAGCACGAGACTTAAAACCCTCAGGCCGCCTTCCTGAGGCAGCTGTTATTACAAAAGCCCTCAATTTGTGGGTTTGCCTGTGTGCCTGTGCCTCAATGCCAGTGACGTGTTCTGCCCACTGTGCTGTATGGCTCCACAGCATCTCTCCCTGAGGTACAGAACTTAGGACCCCATGGATACTTCTGCTCTAGACAGGAACCAGTTCCTGCCTGCAGCCTGCAAGATCATGAGACTCAACCCAAGCACCCACCCACCAACCAAAAGAAATCAAAGAAAGGACAGCTGGTCATAAGCCACTGTGGGAGACTTCCCACAGCAGGTCTTGTCTGAGGCTGCAATTCTGCACTCCCCAGCAGGTGAGCTCAGAATCCTCATAGATCAGAGAGAATGGACCACAGGCAGGGTGGAGCAATGGTAGAAACAGCTCGTGCAAGGTCTGCAGCACAAGATGCCATTGGGCAAATGGGCAGCTGTCTTTCCTTGCACATGGTAGACACACGAAAATCACCACATACCAGGTGCTGTGGCACATGTAATCCCAGCACTCAGGAGGCTGAGGTAGGACGATCACAAGTTCCAGACGGCTTGGCATACATAATCCTAAAGGGCATTAAGCAAGGCCCATCTTGAAAAACCACCACCACCAAACCAGGGCAGGGCAGTGGGTGTCTGTTGGTTCATTTATTAGAATCTGAATCTGTGACTGCAACAGGGAGTTTTTTTTTTTTGTTTGTTTGTTTCCTCTTCAGAAATACACCACTGCAGGCAAAAGATGCAGAAAAGGCTGTGAGAAGGAATGGAAAAGGAAGAATATGACAGAGAAGGAAAGGGGGTGAAAGTGAATCAGACAGACCAGACTCTGAGGTATTGAGAAGCATATGTACTTTCTAGGAAGTTTTAAGTTAATTGTCACTATCAAAATTATCACTCTAAAATAGTGCAATAGTTTAATGCATCTTAAAAGATACTCTGTCCCAGCGAAATCCTGAAAAATTCTTGCAAGTTAAAAAATAACAATTATAGACATTAGCTGGCATCAATATTTGAAAAGTGGCTAGCAATGTTAATACTTGCCTAGCACAAATGAAGCCCAGGATCTGATCCTTAGCACTGTGCCCTCCTCTAATAAAAGATCAGAGGGCTATCTGTATTCTAGAGAGCCAGTGGTAGGTATAGTGCCCACGTCAGCAATCCCAGTGTATTTAACCTCTGGTACCTCAAAAAAAATGGCTATAGTATGTGATGTTTTAAAAGCACCCACTTTTACTTCAAAAGAGCTATTCACTATGCCTCTGCTTGACATTAAGATAGGAGTAAGCTAGTAACAGGGAAAGACAGTAAAAGAAGTGAGACATTAAGACAGGATGACTGAGAAGGGAAGGTGTGGGTCTGCAGGAATAAAGCATGACAATCACTGTTTATGGAGACTCTGCCCCCAAGCAGCTGGAACACCTTAAAGACAAGTCATGCCAGTGCTGCAGGTACTTGGACAGCTGGGCTCCTATAGCACCACCAGGGCCACTATGTTCTGTGTGCGTGCAGGTGGCTCTAGGCAGCCGGGGCAGGCAGCAGACACTCTGGCCCACAGTGTGATGCTTACCTGCACATAGTGGTCTGTAGATGGTGACGACCGGGACCGTTCATGAACATACTGGGATCTCTGGTGCTGGTCCAGTGCTGCATCCAGAATGTTACCTGCAGAGTGACATCGCCCAGCACTCCTGGTTTCCAAAGCCTTCTTCTGTTCCTTCCAAGAGGCTTGGTACTCTGCAAAGGTCCCAAGTCTCTGTGGTGGGTCCAGCTTCCCAGGGTTTTCTACTTTCCTGTAACCATTGAGGATTTCTCCAAAGGATGGGGCGCGTGACTTCTTCTGCAGCCGATGGTCCATGCTCTCGCTTCTTGGGTCCACCATCCCCACCGTCCGAGGCCTCCCCACCTTCTCTCTCGGGAGTCCGAATGCAGCTTGTCTGTGGCCTGGCCTTTGGCGAACAGGTTTGCTCGTTTCTTCAAAAAACTTCCACCTGTCAGCGAATGTGCCCATGCAGTCCTCAGGGGTCCCAGGGTGCTGATGTGAACTGCAGTCCCCTGATAGCCCCACCTGGTTCATTTTCTCTGGTTCAGAGTATGACTTCAGCTTCTGCTCTGCCGTGAACCTTTTCCGGCCCCCAACTCGGGACACCTGGGGTGACCCACTTCTGGGTGAGGCTGGCTTGGTCAGACCTGCCTCCCAAAAGCGAGGCGCGCAGTCTAGCTCCACAGGACAAGACAAGGTGGCCCCATTCTCCCCAGCCCTGTGTCCTGGGGGCCCAGGATATTGGTCCGCAGGGATGGGGTCCAAGTCACGGTGCTTGAAGGAGGTGGCCCTCAGGACCCGTGCCTGGGCCTCCTTCAGATGGTCTTTGTAGGGGCTGGAGAAGGCATCTTCTGAAGGGACTCCAAGCTGGGCCTGCCAGCTGCCAGTCTCTGAATCAGCCTCACTCCCATCAACCAGGGTCGCTGCGCTCTTGCTTTTCTGCAGCTTGGCTCTGCGAAACTGGATTTCATTCCTCAGTGTGGTGGTGAACCGGTCGCTCCTCTGTGCAGGTTGACCCACCTGTGTGTCAAAGGATGGCAACTTCTCCACGGCGCCCATCTGGCCCTCCTGGCTCAGTGAGTGCAACATAGGGGTCTGCTGGCAGGAGATCTTGCTGCCCTCCCCGTCTGCCACCCTGAAGCCACCAGCCAGTGGCCCCTGCTCAGCGTGGCTGGTCCTGGACAGTTCGTGGAATCTCAAGACACCACTCCCAGTGACTGTGTCTGGCAGGGGACCAGGCTCCTCTTGGTGGGCTAGGGGGCACTGCGGGCTGGGGCTCATCACTGGGTGTCGGGGAAGGCACTTGGGGGCTCCAGGGACCACATCCCAGTGCCAACACACCCCTTGGAACAGGGGCTGCCTGGCAGCCACACAAGAATAATAGCTCTGGTCGACAGCCTTGGGCCACCTGGCTTGTGGGGAGCCAATATCCTTGCAGTAAGGCACAGGCAGGTCCTGCCACCCTCCGGATGGGGCCACATGATGCCATCCCCACAGGAACATTGACTTTCTAGTGATGCCCTCATCACTGCACTGGCGTGGGTGCTGGCTCCCGTGGGTAGGCTGTGTGAGGGATGCATCAGCTCTGGACAGGGAGGCCTGGACACTGCCTGGGAGACTACCTGGCTGGCTGCACTCATGGTGGCCTCCTGATTCCTTCCCAATGCTCAGGCACCTGGGCCTCCGCTGGCGATCAGCCAGGTCTGACCTCCAATCACCACGAGGCTGCGGCTGGATCGGGGCTGCCGAGAGCTTCGTGGCGGCCACCTCTGAGAACGGAGGGCCCAGCGGCTTCTCATGGTTCTTGGTGGCAGCAAAACTGTCACTGCGCAGTGGAGGTGCAGGAGGGGGTGGTGATGGAGGGGCTTTTTTCTTGTCGGGAACATGCCAGATGGGCCCGAAAATGGACCTGCTGGAAGCGGTCAGCTTGGGTTCAACAGTGTCCTCTGGCCTGGGGCTTTTACTGCTGTCCCCGGGGGCTCTGGGCAGGAAGGTGGAGGGCCTCTTCTCCAGGGCCTGAGGGGCCGCCTCCCAGAGCCCAACTTTGTGGAGGATGTTCTCTACTGAGGAGGCCTCAGCCTTGGGCAGGGTGTGGTCCGGGGTGCCAGAGCTGGTGGAAAACGAGCCATAAGCCAAATCACGTTGGTTGGGGCCACCCAGGTGGTCGATGCTGCTGTTACACTTAGCTGTCAAGAGGTGTCCAGAGAGGTAGGCCTGGGAGGGGTGGTCCAAGCTGTCAACAGTGCCCAGGGAGCTGAAGTGGTTTGATGTGCGTTGTAGGTTTGTCTGCTTCCATGAAATGGACAGGTCTTGGGAGGAAGAACTACAGGAAAGAACAGCAACCGGAAGGTTTGCAAATGGCAATATTGCTGGGCAACAGCTGTATGAACACAGCTGGCCCTCCACAGAGAGTCAGGATGCCAATAGCAGCCTCCTAGGATGAGCTCCCTGGGTCTGAAATCTTACCTAGCATACCTGAATTATGAAGAGAGAAAGGAGAAAGGCAGAGGGAGAAATAGGGAAAGGGGACAGAATCCTGGGGGGAAGGAGAGGGTGGGAAAGAGAAAGAAAAGAGAGAAAGAAGGATGATACAGGGAGGGCAGGGGAGGGGAGGAGAGGGGAAGGCAGGAGGGCAGGGTACTTCTGGAGGACTGGCTGGAAAGACTGCGGTCCAGTTCCCCTACTAGAGGCCTTTTCAATAGATTCTTTTCACTGTTGGGGACTTTTTACCCTAATGCCTGTAGCAGTAGCAGGCAATGCGGGAGTTAACCTATCTGTAGACCATCTCTCATCAAAGGCAGAGACTGGTGAGTAATAATACATGAGCTAAGGATTTTTTTTTCTATTTCATAAATGGTCATGGGAAAAGAAACCAAAGAAATTTCTAGGTGACCTGTGAGGATGGTATGAACCACCAGTTTTAATCCACATACAAAGACTTACTGGAATACAACTGCGTCCATTTGTCCATGCTTGGACTATCACTGCTTTTGTACTACAGCAGTGGAGCTGAGTAATCGAGACAGAGCCTGGTCGACCTGCAAAGCTGAAAATATCTGCCTTCTAGCCTTTTGCAGAACCAGCATGCAGATTCATGCTTTATGCTTATGCTGTAGGCAGTAATCAAATGAGAATAATTTTAATACTGTAGGCTGGGGAGTAGTTCAGTGGCACAATCTTCAACCACACCAAGGACATGGTTGGGGGGATGCACTGGTGAGCTCATGTAAAGGAGGGAGATGACTGCGCAGGTTGGACACTGCTATGTTCTGTGAGCTTAGAGATGGAGTGTGTTCCTGACTTCTCTCCCCAGCAGCGATTCTGCCTTGAGATCCTAGATCCGAGCAGATTCAACAGCACTGAGTGCTGTTCCCACACAGACGTGGGCAGCACACATGCTCCTCTCTCTCTCAACAGCACCTGCCAAATTCCTAGTGGGCTCAATGGACATCCTATGGCATTCAAGTCACTTCAGTAAGGACATGAAAGGCTTATTTTTTGCCAAAGTTTTACAACCCGGTTCAGAATCTGGTTTTGCAAGAAAATTCTCTGGGCTAAATACAGTGCCATCTTCCCTTGTCACTCTGACCACTATACTGTATTTGAGGGATACTTCCTTCACACTGCATGAGCCTTACCTTGGAGTTGTGTGGCAGACCAGTATTTATTGACAGACAGGTTTTGAGATGAGTATATCAGTTTTAAACACACACATGTGTGTATACAAACATGCATGTACACATACATGCAGTCAGATTCCCATTCATATATGCACACAGGTACACACAAACATACCCATATGGGTACATATACATCTGTACACATTTATAGTCACACACACACATAACATGCACAACAAACACACATGCACACATATGCATGTGTGTATGGGATACACACACAAACATCCCCTAAAACTACACTATGTGCACACTTTTGTCACTAATACCAAGATGGGAGGGGGAAGAAGGAAGAGGTACAATAGGATCTCCCTGGGAACTTTCACAAAAAATACATCTGCCACCCCACCAATATCTCCTGCCTTCCAATCCTCTGTGAAATCTTTGAAAGAAGGGTGGTGGCTGTGCACATGTGCATGTCACATGAAGCCACCCTTCCAGCTCTGAACCCTTGACTGCCTGGCGCCCCACAGAACAGTCCCAAAGGGAAGCCACTGTGGTGACCCATCCTAAGCCTCGCCTCCAGTAACACACAAAATGCTGGCCTGTTCATCCTCCACTTTGTCACATCGTTTTCTATTTCCCACTGTCACACTTTCCTGGCCAGTGAAACATTCAGCATTCTAACCCTAACCAGGTCTCAATGGATGGCCTGGTCTCATCAGAAACATCAAAATCACCCCAATGTCAGGTAATGAGATTGCGAGCATCTACCTGGCGTGGTGGTGGCCATGCCAAGAAGAGCAGCCACTGGCAGTGGGAAACTGAGAGGCAGCTGACTCCGAGTGGCCATCGGAGAACTTGGTGGGGTGCCATGAGTGGGGTCTCCAGCTCACATCTTTCCTCCTGGAAAAGAAAGAGGACAGCTCAGGCAGGCGCTTTGCATACTGCACACTTGTGTAACCAGACAGGAAGTCTGCCCTGGCTGCTTAGTGAAACCCGCAGAGTGGCACTCAGGCGCTGGCCACTGTATTCCTGCACACTCACTCTTTTTAGGAGCTTGTCGGTGTCCATCCTGCCCCCATGCTGAGTGGGAGCCATAGGGTGCAAAACATGCGGCAGCACTTATTCCTTAGAATTGACTCCTGAGGGTCGAGGATTTAGCTCAGCTGCATAAGCACCTGCATTGCAAGTGCATGATCATGAGTTCGATCCCCGGTACAAAAAAAAATTGATTTCTATATAAACACACATAATTATCATTTACCAATGAAAATCTTATACACGTTAAGATAAAACTGCTCTAAAAAAACAACCCCTCACCCAATAATGTGAACAAAACTGGATTCTCCTTATCTTCTGAGTTTCAGTGCAAGTTTGCATAGGACCCCGAGTCCCCTTGGAAGAAAGGATGGGATTGAGTCCCTAAGCTGGCTAGGCCACACAGAGTTCAGGTGGCATGGGTCCACTGATGTGGTGGACCCTGCTGTCTTGCTGCTAAGCTAAGTAGATCCAGCTGGTGCTCCTGCCTTTGCATGTTACAGCATGTGCTACGAGGCTGACCAAGACATCCTAGCATCATAATCAAAGTGCCCCACACTGACAGGCTGGAGTCCATTTCAACAGAAATTTTCCATGTGCCTTCCTGAACCCTTGCCACAATCTGTATCATCTTGATTGTGGCCTCTGGGTGCTATGGCCACACCTGCCCAGATGGCCAGGTGTGTCCCTCTGGAAAGCCCTACAGGTGCTCCCAACCCAAAGACCATCTAAGCTGCCTTCTCCTCCAAAGCTCCAGAAGAAAGCCAGCTTTCCTTCATTCTTAAGCCTCTGCAGGCAGCAACAAGCTCCCCATGGATAGAATGGAGAAAAGAACCCAAATGAGCATCTTCTGCTGCCTTACAATGATCAGACATCTCCCCCAGCAGGCTACAACACTAGAAAACAACAAAGAATTGCTTTCCAAAATGAAACCAAAGCTTTGTAACACAAAGGTTTTGATGACTCTCTGAGACAAATTCCTATACCACAGAAGTAAGAAATTACAAAATCAAGACTATACCTCATTGAATTCCTTAAAATCCTTGTGAGGAAGCTTCTGGCCATGTGAATTTCATTTTCAGCTGGCTTTTTGGGTGCTAGAATATCCCCTGCTTCTTTCATGTTTCTTTATAGTTAGTTAATCAGAGAAATAACTTAGATTGACTAAAATGGAGGCAAACAGAAAAAGAAGGCTAAGAAAAGAAAATGTCTGGTGCTTGCTGCAAGGCTGTATGCACCCCAATGCCCAGATATCTGGTAGATTAACTGGGACTGGTGTGGCTGCCGTGCTCAGTAGGCAGTAGGAATGTTCTTCCAGAAAAACTACCATCAGCCAGTACAGATAAAAAATCAGCCATGAAATTGCTCTCACAAAGGATGTGCAAGAGATTAAAAATGGATGTTAAATCTCTGCTATTCTCTATGCCAACAAAAGTGGCTTCACATTCCTCCCCTTGAGCCTGGGCTGGCCCAAGTGACCTAAAAAACAGAATGGGAAGAAGGCCATTCCAGTACATTTGAGCACATCCATAGGAAGACATTTCTCTTCTTCCTAGAGGCCTGAAATGAAGGAAGGAAGGGAAAGAGGGAGGAAGGGAGGCAGCGAGGGACGGAGCCCTCCACCAACTAAGAAACCCAGCAATCTGGGGTAGCCATATTGTAAGGGTGCCCAAGCCAGCCTTGCAGGACAGGTAGCAGAGACTGAAGCAGACCATAGCCAGTGGTCACAATGCTGCAGCCTGTGCTCCAGACAGATCAGAAGGAGGCCACTTGCCATGATTCCCCTGCAGAGAGGACGTGAAGAAAGACTAAGGAACCCAGAAAATAGCCAGGACCAGGTCCCTAATCTCAGGGCATTTCTGCCTGTTCAACCCCCGCCCCCATCACTGCCCTCCGCATACAGCAACATCCACTGAGTGCGTCCCTGCTGTACTGTATCTTGATTCCTAGTTTGGCCTGAACAAACAGGAATCAATGCCAAGGGTAGTCACTACCAAGACAGGAAGAAAGAGGCAGGTTACTTAGGCTCCTAGACCTCTGCTAGTTGCTACACATCATTACTAAATTAATTAAAATAAAATAAAGTCACCCTAGTCATATCATAGGTGCTCCATAACCACGGGAGACTGGTGGCTGCTACACCAGGTTATGCGGACATGGCCTTTTCTGTCACTGCTATGAGTCCTACTAGACAGCACACCACTCAGTGGGAAATCACCTGCAGTGTCTCCGTGCCTCCTCTGCCTGCAAGAACAAGTAGCCACTAGCAGGGCATGACCTATGGCAAAACCTCCATCCCAGAATGATCAGCCTGAACACACAGCACACCTCCCACAGGTGGTGTATGTTCTCATGTCTTGACAATGGAAATTCCATTTTGATACCCTGAATGGGGGAGGGGAACTTCTGATTAAGCCCCCAGATGATCAGGATAGAAAGCAACAACCAGAAACCTTCTTCTGAAACTCTGTAGGAAGCACCTCCTGCCCTAAGTACCCAGAGCTTCAAGAAGTAGCATCGGTTCGAGGGGAATCACCTGTCCCCACGCATCAAATGTTCAAAGCCAAGTGGGAAGCGAAACAGAAGTGGAAGATGATTTGCAATCGGAGGAGAAAGGAGCCCAGAGGTAACGTTAATCATATGGCACAGGTAGGGGGGAAAATGTCCACCCTTGCACTGACCTCCTAAGAAAACAGGGGCTTATCCACTGTAAATGAGGCAGGCAGTAACCAGACACTAGCAGTCAACAGAGCTAAATGATTCCATTCCTGGACCAAAACGTCACTCCAAAAACCTGAAAAGAGCTTTTCAAAAAAAACTGTAATAACGATTAATGATAAAACATTTCAAATGCATTCTAGTACTCTAAAAGGTTTCTATATGAGTAATATTCAGCTTACATCTAATATGGACTTTAACAACCAATCATTTGGTTAAAATGTAGATTGCCCCACTAATGAATGAATGGATAAACAAAATGTTCAAAATGCATACAGTCAGAAAAAGGAAAGAAATTCTGAGACCTGCTACCACACACATATCATTATGCTAAGTAACATGACAGCTACAAAAGGCTGCGTACTGTGTGATCTCACTTTAAGACTAAGCACGGGGAGGAACCACATTCCCAGAGACAGAAAATGCTATGGGAGATTCCAGAGGCTGAGACAGGCAGAACAGGGATGGGCCATTGCAGTGGACTGGGCAGAACTTCAGTTTTGCGAGACAAAAAAGAGTTCTAAGGAATGCACGATACAAATATACTTACCAGTACTAGACTGCACACTCTAGGTGGTTATAATGATAAATCACCCGTTGTGTGTACTTTACCACAGTTACAAAAAAAAGAAAAAAAAATCTGAAGGTCTCTTAGGGGTCTCTAGTGGTCACAGGACATGGCTGTGCTGTGCCATGCTGTCAGGACACAAATGCACACAGAGAGGTTAAACTGCAGGCATGCAAATGAGGGAGCAAGACCCGAAGTCATCAGAGTTGGGGTGCAGGCCAAGCACCCCCCGCCACCTACTACCAACACAGTTTCCGGAGAGAATAAAGAAGGTTAAGTTCGAGACATTTCTAGGTAAATGGATGCTCCTTGAGATCAGACTCTTAAGTGAAGTACATTGGACACATATCTGTAAATATCGCACTGTTTCTCTGGTGTGAGAAACTGAAAGCATAAACAAGGATCAAAATGTGTAACAGAGATTGTGGAATAGGAAGAAAATCTTCAAATGGAATGGGAGAGGGAGGAGGGAGAAAGGACAGAAGGTAAAAGTAACAAAACAAAAAGAAGAAAGAAAAATGGAGCCTGATGTGGTGGCACATGCCAGTAATTCCAGCACTTGGGAGGCTGAGGCAGAAAGAGCATCCCAAGTTTGAGACCAGCCCGTCTGAGCTGTATAGTGAGACTGTCTCAAAAGGACCAAAAAAAAAAAAAAAAAAAAAAAAAAGAAAGAAAGAAAAAGAAAAAGAAAGAAAGAAGGAAAAAATGGAGGGCTAGGGATATAGCTCAGTGGCACAGTGCTTGCTTGCCAATGTCGAGGTCCAAAGTTTGATTATGGCACCAAAGGGAAAAAATAGACAATGGAAACAAAGCTTTTGTAAATGGGGAGGGGAAGAGGGGTTGAAGGGAGGATAGAAGAGTGGCAAAAAAGAAGAATCAAGTTATATCACATATAGGTACAAATTCTCCATAATGAATATGATCATATGTATATCTAAAATATTCTAATAAAAACCTGATTGAGGGGGGGAGCAATTTCTGGGCAGAGACATGAGCAGGCACTGATGGGTGGAAGAGGAGTCCCGAGGAAATCCAGCCATTGCACGGCCCTCGTCCATGGCTCGTGTCCTTGGGGGCTGACTGCAGGGCTAGGCTGAGGGAACACAAATGACCTGAGCTGTTCTGCAAAAAGACCACACAGAGATGCAGGTGTCTAGTTCAGCAATGTCCTTCAGAGGGCTATTTCTTTAAGGGAACAAACAAAGAAAGGCAACAGAAAGGGTTACAAATTCCTCCCATGGCTACGATGGCTACGATGGCTGATGGCTACGATGGCGTTCACCTCCAGTGTATGCACTTTTTTTGGTCATGTCCTCTGAATTTCCGGAAAAACCATGACCATTCTTGGGAATCAAATACAGGCCAGGCTGAGGACTTTGGGACAGAACGCTCTGGTGCCACCTAGAGGCCACATACACTCATTGCACTTTTGGCACGGTTTCCCTAAGACTCAGCCAGCACCTTGGCATTCATGATGGATTTGAAGGCCTCTTCCCAAAGTGGCTGTGCTGTTCCTTCTCTGTGACATACACACTGGAGCCCAGAAGTGTGGGAACTGTGAGCAAGACGTGGGATGCCA